CACGCCCCCGCCCCGCCCCCCCCCAACTGGTGCTCCTCACTCCTGACCCACAGCTTCCTGCCCCCATGTGCCCATCGACCCCAGCCTCAGGCCTCGGTACCTTCATGGCCTTCCTGGCAGCCTCGCTGCTGCCAATGGCGATGGTGTCGGGTCCGGCCATGCTGCAGAAGCTCTTCAGGTGGGAGGAGCCCAGCACAGGCACCGTGGAGACAGCGAAGTCCTGGGGGCAGGTGAAGGAGGCCTGCTCGTGTCCCTCACTCCCGAACTGCAGCCCCTGCCCTGCTGGTGCCGCTCACTCCCAACCCGCAGCCCCCTGTCCCCTCCCAGTACCTCTCATTCCCAAACCACTGGGCTCCAGCTGGGGAGTGAAGGCTGCTGGGCCAGGCAGAAAGGAGCCTGGACACCTGAGTTTACTCCCTACTCTGGGAGGGGCCTGGAGTCCCATGACTTAGAGAAGGGGTTCCCTCCAACCCAAACCCACATCCAAACTCACTCGGAACGCATCGGCCACCATCTCAGCTCCTCTGTGATTGGTCCATTTGGAGATGCCCACAAAGAACTCCCGGCCTATGGGGCGGCAGGAAGAGACCTGAGGTCCCAGTCCCACCCACCTTCAGCGCCCCCCAGCCTGGTGGTGTCCCTCACTCCCGACCCACAGCCCCACTCTGATACCCGCGTTTTTCCCACCCAGCCCCCTCATCCCACACCTCAGACTGGGCCCAGGACACCTGGGTTCATTCCCAGCTCTGGGGAAGGGGGAGACTGGATTCCCAGGTGTGCCGCCCGCCCCCCGGCAAGAGCTGCAGCTAATCCACCCCCTGCCGACCCCCTCACCTGTGAAGAGCACGTCGCTGCCATCCAAGGTGGCTCCATCGTCCGCCACCTCGACCACCCGCAGTTTCAGCTCCTCCAGCACCTTCCTGATGCCGCTGATCTGCAGCCATGGAGTGGTTGTGGGGGCTCCTGTCAGGGGATGCCCACCCAAACCTCCCGCCAGCCCCCTGGGAGCTCCCATGGAGCCCCATCTGCCGGGCAGGCCTTAAGGGTTCCTAATGCCAGATGCAGGGAGAGAACCCAGGTGTCCAGGCTCCCACCCCCTGCCTCTCTCTGCTGGGAAGGGAACCCAGGTGTCCAGGCTCCTCCACACCCACTTCCATCTCTGGGAAAGGAACCCAGGTACCCAGGCTCCTGGCCTCCCCTGCTCCAACCCACCTGCCCCACTCCCTTCCCAGAGCAGGGAAAGAACCCAGGTGTCCGGGCTCCCAGTCCCCGCTGCCAATGCCCACTCCCCTCCGTTTGCTGGGAAGAGATCCCCATGCCCAACTCACCTCTGCCCGCCGTGCAGGCTCCCAGGGCCGCGTGAGCAGCGCCGTGTCCCCCTGTACTACGGCAGCATCCTCCAGCAACGCAGAGCGGGGCAGAGCCTCGTCAGGGGGCAGCTCTACCACCTGCAGGCCCAGCTTCTGGCGCAGGACCCCCACCAGCACCCCGTGCTGCCGCTGTGCCTTGGCCAGGTCCACTGGCTCCCCCAGCCCCTCCACTGCCTCCCCCAGGGAGCCAGGCAGGCGCCGTACCACGGCGTGGGTGTAGCGGCCGAATGATGGCAGCCCTGCCATGGATGCGAGGTTGGGATCAGGCTCGTTGATATCACCAAGTCTTGATCGCAGCCCCCGGGAGGGTCCAGTCGGTTTCTCAGCTCCTCTGTGCTGGTTCTACTCCAGCCCCTTCCCTCTTTTCCAGCCTCTCTCCAGCTCTCAGCCCTGCAATCACTACCAATCTCGTCAATATCACTGACACTGATCGCAGTCCCCAAGGAGCTGACAGCCTGTGTCCCGATTGATCAACTGACCAATATTAGGTCTTGTCAGTATCCCTGATGTTAGTCCCCCTTGCAGGAGCAAGCTGGTTTCTCCTTGGAGCTGAGAGTCTCTGTCCTGATCAATCAGTCAATCAATTGATCAATATCAGTTGTGTCAGTATCACCCACACTGACCTGAGCCTCCTTTGGAGAGGAGAGTCTCTGTCCCAATCAACTGATCTATAACAGTTGTGTCAGTATCACCGACCCCAATCTCAGCCCCCCCTGGAGGATCTGATCAGTTTCTCCTTGGAGCTGAGCTTCTCTGTATGGACCAATCAATCAATTCCCTTCTGGCACAGGACTACAGCCAATCAGTTGGGTTCTCGCTTCCCAGGAAAGCTGATCCCCAACTAGTCAATCTATAAGCCTCCAAGCAACTGTTTTCTTCTTCCTCTAGAGTTTCTGGTCAGTTTCTTCTCCTTGGAGCTGAGCGTTTCTGTCCCAATCAATCAATATCAGTCCCATCAATACTGCTGACCCCCAACCTCAGTCCCTGTCGGAGGATCTGGTCAGTTTCTCCTCGATATCCCCCAATCAAGTCCCCCAGCGCGTGATCAATTCCCTCTTGGAGGCAGGAAAAGCGAATCAGTTGGTTTCTCTCTCTCTCCGGAAAAGCTAGGTGGATCTATAATCCCTCAAGCAATTGGCTTCTTCCCCCTCTAGAGCTTCCGGTTAGTTTCTTCCCCGTGATCAGTTTCAAGTCTCTGATCAATGTTCCTGAGAGTCTGGTCAGTTTCACTGCCAGGGCATGAATGGGTCAGTTCCCCGCTCTGAGCTGCGATCAATACGCTCTGCAATCAGCCAACGGCCCTCAAGGAAGTTGACTCAGGCCTCCAGCACTTCTGGACCTCAAAATGAAATGAATCCAACAACTGTTGCCAAGACTGTGATTTTCCCATGGATCGATCAATACCAGGGCATCTCCAATTGATTCTCCCTTACCGCCAGCACTGAACATGCAATTGTATTGACCGGGGCAGCAAAGCTTCAATCAATATCTCCCTCCACAGCCGACAGGTTGTCAATTATGTTCTTCCTTGCATCCAACCTCTGGCCAATTTCTCCCTTTGAGGCCCAACTCCCATCAATCTTGCGTCTCTCTGATCAATTAGATCCCAAGACTGACTGTTCTGGACGGATCCCCAGCGGGGTTCTGTCCTGTCACTAGGCAACCAATCGATTGATCACCAGTTCCCCAATCATTGTTCCTTCTTGATCAATAATTGGATGATTTGGAATCTACCGGATCTCCCCAGTTGCTACCCAACCAAGCGGCTGGTCAGTTTCCCTGGATCCGACAGAATTGCCATCAACGTGGATGGATCAATCAATTTGGGACCCCAAACAATACCTCCGCGTCACCCATCTCTCCTGTCAGCCTCAAAATGCAGCTGTCTTAGATGGAGTTACTCATCAGCCTCTTCCAGGAACAGCTGGGCCACCTATCTTCTCATTTGTGATTAAATTAATCAATCAACAGGACCCCTAATTAACACCTAAGATCAACTTCTCCAGCAACTTCCTCCTTTCCTGGAACAAACTGCGCCTTTAGTTCCCTGTTGGTTCTTGGTGGAAACCAAATCTCTTCTTCCCAGTCACCTTTTCCAGAGGACATCAAACTTTGATCCAGTCACCTCTCCTGGAAGACACCAAATTGCTTCGATTTCCACTGAAGGCACAAAAATTCCCACCCCCTTCTGGAATTTGGGGGCCGAAGTGGAAATTTTGGTGGCAAAAGGCCTATAGAAACAGGCCTGCTCTGGTCTGGGAGCTTCCAGGACCTTGAAAGAGAAGAGAAACGTTGAGATCAATTGGAGGTTTCAGATGCTAAATCCACAAAAGAACCAGATGGAGATTTCCCCTTGGAAAAATGTACGCGCGCGCGCGCGTGTATATGTGTGTGCGCGCGCGCGTGTGTACATGTAGGGATATGTGGCTTGGTATTATCACACACTGGTTACACACATGTTGGCAGTTGGACTAGATGTGACCTCCCAAGGTCCCTTCTAACCCTCATTTTCTATGATTCTACGTTGAAGTTTATATTTATTTATTTATTGTATTTATCTATGTCTATGCATGTATATGATTTATAGATGGGTATAATGTGCAATTATGAATGTACGCTGTGTGCGCACAAGCTGGAATACATGGCATTCTATTATAAATTATGATATATATATATAATGGATTCTCCATGCGGATATTTATGTATTGATGTATATATATTTATATAAAATGAACATATATACATATGTACACTTATTCATAGATGTACGTTTTATACATTTGTGTATAAGGTACAATTAGGAATCAGAACTTGTGGCAATTATGAATATATGCAATTAGGAATGCATGTTGCATGTGCAAACAGGAATATGTAACGCTATTATAAACTCTGTGTATGTAATTGATTATACATAACTAAACATGAGTAAATATACACATGTATATTATTTATATTTGTGTATAATACACGATACTTGATGCATGCTGTGTGTGCACATAGGCATATGTGGTATCATATTATAAACTATTACCTATATACAACTGATTCTATGCATGTATATCCATTCATATTTATATATGCACATTCATATTTGTGTCTAATATGCAAATGTTATTATATGCTATGTGTATGCCCAGGCAAGGATGTGTGGCACCATATACATTTATATTTATACAATTATATACAAGTAAATATATTTACTTGTATTAATATATTACTTATATTTGTGTATAACATGCAGTTATTAATACATACTCTGTGTGTGCATGCACACAGGAAGGGATATGTGGCTTTGTGTTATAAATAATTATGTATACATAATTGATGATTTATTCTTATATGTGCATCATACTTGGATAATATAATGAAGATTGTATGCTGCATACAATAATTAGCCGTACTTCTATCCATACAGACATAAATGCACACATACATATATATACACACACACACACATATTCCTACATATACACATGATTACATATATGCACCCACATATATGCACATACATGCATATACACACATATATTGATACACATGCATCATACATACACATATATACACTATATATGTACAACATGCAATTATGAATACTGTATACGAGGTGTGTGCACGCACAGGGACACACGGCATCACTGTACTCTAAATTATACATACGTGATTATACACATGTACTTGTATGTACCTCTTTACATTTGGGTATAGCATGCATCCATCTATACTGCGTGAGTCTGCACATGGAGCTAACTCTGTCGACACACACAAATATCCTCACGTGGAATCAATGATACATGCATGTGGTCATAGTTTCAAAGGCAGTGGCACACGTACATGTGGACAAACCGCACGCTGTAATGACTCTGCACACACACGGGCGTGTAATTCTTATGCAAGCTACATACTAATGAAGTACACATACACACATGATTTTGCACACACAGCACATCACACATATAATGTGCACTGAAGCAGGCACTTTATAAAACACGGTAATAAATTATATATACTGATACATCAGTAATCATTCATAACACAATGCCACGTATGTGTGCATGAGAGCCACCTCCTCCCTCCCCCTCGCCGCCCCCCCAGCCTCACTCTCACTCACTCACGCACACACATACACCCCTCCCCCGGGTGTCTGGAACTCACACAAACCAAGACCCAGATGTCTGGGACATAGAAATGTTCATGCGTGCACACAATACCCAGAGCGTGAACCCAGGCATCACCCCCACTGCCCCCCCAAGAACCTAGGTGTCTGGGACAAACACACATGGGAAAAACACACACATGTGGAACTTAGATGTCTGGGGCACATGCACATGTGTGCCCACATATACACACACACAGAACGCAGGCATCCAGGACACACACACACCATGAACCCTGGTGACTGGGAGACACAGATGCACACACACACCCCCCCAGAGCAGGAATCCACGTGTCTGGGACACACATATGTGCACTCACAAGGAACCCAAACATCGGAGACACACGCATCCGCACACAGCCAGCTCAGGCATCCCATACACACACAAGCCAGAAGGGGCCTAGGGAGATGCACACACCCAGTGACTCTCCTCCGTGGAGGGAGTGCTGCTGGCTGGACACCTGGGCTCTCCCCCTGCTGTGAGAAGGGAGTGGGAGTGGGTGGGTCACAGCTGTGGGGCTGGGAGCCTGGACGCCTGGGGTCTCTCCCTCTCCTCCTTCAGCCAACCCTCTCCCCCAGCCTCGGTTTCCCCAACCCCTGCCAACCGCACCCTGCAGGGGTTGTTAACTGATTGGGGCGGAGGTCAGGGGCCTGGTGCAAGGAGGGGAGCTCTGGACTTTGCTGCCTGACTAGGGGCTGGGGGGTGGGGGGGAAGGGCAGGGGAAGTGGCCGGTCCAGGACTGGGGCTGGGATTGGCTCAGGGGGAAAAAATGCAGCAGCTGGTTCCTGTTAACAACACGTCCAGGCACGGACACACACACACCAGAAACCGCACCCTGCACACGCGTGCACACACACACAGGGGGACACACCCCCTGCACAGGCACAAAAACACACACACAAGACACGCCACACCCAGCACAGATACATGAACCCCAGAACTGGACACACACACGGCCAGGCCATCTCCTCCAGCCCCTCCCCCCTTTCCATGCCACACCCAGCACAGATACATAAACCCCAGGACTGGACACACACACACACACACACACACACACACACACACAGCAAGGCCACCTCCTCCAGCCCCTCCCCCTTTTCTCTCCAGCTCTCAGGCCAGCGCCCTCCCGCGAGACCCTGGGCCCCACCCGTCGCCCCGTCCCCCAGCAGAGAACCCGGGGCCTTCACCCCCCAGCCCACCCCATGGCCCCTGCCCAGTGCCCCCTCTATCCCCATCCCTCCCAGTGTCCCCCTAACCAGTGCCCCCAAACTCCACAGCATCCCCAGTCCTCCCTAACCAGTGCCCCCAAGCTTCCCAGACCGCCCCTAACTGGGTC